TATCAAAAAACAAACTATTTGAAAGATTTTTTTTTTTAAAGATTTCATTTATTTGAGAGAGAGAGCGCACGAGCAGGGGGAGGGGCAGAGGAAGAAGCAGACTCCCAGCTGAGCAGAGAGCCCATGTGGGGCTCCATCCAGGACTCTGAGATCATGACCTGAGCTGAAGGCAGATGCCTAACCCACTGAGCTACCCAGGTGCCCCAAAAGATGTTGTTTAAAAAAAGAATGCCTAGGAAAAGATATTCCCAGTACTTATTTTGAACAATGGACTTGGTCTAGAATATGTAAAGAACACAGTTGAATAAGACAACTAAATTAAAAAGTGAGCAAAAGATCTCAACATATGTAACCAAAGAAGATAGATGAATTGCCAAACAAGGTAAAGAAAAGACTATCATTAGTTATCATCAAAGTGCAAATTAAAACCGCAGCAAGAGACTACTTCATACCCACTAGAATGACCAACACTGAAAAGACTGACAATTGTAGAACAACGGGAACTCTCCTACATTGCTGGCACAAGTGCAGAATGGTACAACAGATTTGGAAAGCGGGTGAACGGTTTCTTACAAAGTTAAAATTAAACTTAGAGTAAGATCCAGCGTTTCTATTTCCCAGTTACTCTGGAGAGATGAAAAGCTATCCAAGTGCAGAATGTAAGAAGGAGAGGAAGCTGATGGTGGAGAGTACTACTACAGTTTTTTTTAACTCATGCCAGTCTCTCTGAAAGCCAGGAGACTGAGCTTTTAATTCAAGGAGACTGCCAGTCACTAAATGGCCAGATAATTCACTTTAAGCTTTTCTAAAATTTTGTCTTGTGAACCTGTGCATTTGTGAAATACCGTCTGGTGCTGTAGACCAGTCTGACCCCTTATATATGTGTGGAATGTGCTGAGCTGTGTTTCAAGCCAAATTTAGATGTTGATGTTGTTGCAAAGTGACACTCCTTTTATTGTCTTAAGATTTTAAAAGTATAAGGTTTTCAAAATGGAAATGTTTTAAGCAACTGTCAGCTCAAGAAATGAAAGTAACTATAGTTTATATATTACTAGTGAAAGTGTTCTGTGATAAATTTAATACTTCTCTCCAGGTGTTCATATATAAATGTTTTAAGTATGCACTTTTGAAAAATAATTGTGACAAGGAAGTTTGTTTAGAAAAGGAAGAAGATGGAAATGTATTTGCATGACATTCCAAGGCGTGTTTGAGACATTTTTAGATGCATATATTTACTTAACAAATACAGAGCTGTGGAGTTGCAAACACCTGCTTGGTTTGAAAGTGCATTTCACGATTATCTAGGTGGAAATAACTTAAGCTGTATATCCTATCTTATTTCCAAAAATGAGGCAAAAATTGTTGCACTTTTAAAAATCATTCTTCAACTAAACACGAGGGAGGAGGAAGTCTTGTGAATGTCATTTTCCAAGGTACATGTGAGTGTGAAATTGTATATTTTAAAATTCACAAATTAATGAATAGCTTTACTCTAAATGGGAAGGAGGTCTGAATTTGGAACAAGGAAAGGTGATAAAGTATTATGGATTGTATATTAGGAAGCTTTTTATTAATTTTAAGTATTAAACAAAAAGAACACTTGTTAAAAAGAGAAGAAGTGGGTACCTGGGTCGCTCAGTTGGTCAGGTGTCTGCCATTGGCTAAGGTCATGATCTTAGGGTCCTGGGATCGAGTCCCACATCAGGCTCTGCACAGTGGGGAGTCTGCTGCTCACCCTCACTCTCCCTCTGTGCTCATCCTCCCTCTCTCTCAAATAAATAAAATTAAAAAAAATAAACTACACCTCCCAATCCAAAATTGATATTTGAAGATGGTTTCTGGAAAACAATTTCCAAATAAAAAAGAAATTTGCCTGACTTTATATGTAGATAAGAAAATAGAATAAATTGGGCGCCTGGGTGGCTCAGTTGGTTAAGCGACTGCCTTCGGCTCAGGTCATGATCCTGGAGTCCTGGGATCGAGTCCCACATCGGGCTCCCTGCTCAGCAGGGAGTCTGTTTCTCCCTCTGACCCTCCCCCCTCTCATGCTTTCTCTCTGAAAATAAAATCTTAAAAAAAAAGAAAATAGAATAAATTAAACCATAGATTTTTCAACATCAGATTTCAAATCCAATAGATTTGAAGTTTTTCCATGTCTGTGTTGCAACAGTGATGAGCATAAAGAATTTTCAGTTTTAACCAAAGGTATATTTGTTTTCGTAGATAGAATTGGTTAAAAGAGACTTCATTTCACAATGATGTCTTTTTTTTTAAGAAATTTTTTTTATTTGTAATGAAGTATAGTTGACATAGTAGTTTCTGGCTTGCAGCATAGTGATTTGGCAATTATATACATTATGAAATGCTCATCAGGAGAGAAGTGTAGTTACAGTGTGTTACACAAAGTTATTACTGTATTATTGACTGTATTCCCTATGTTGTGTCTTTTTCATCTTAATGACATTTATTTTACAACTGGCACAATGACTTCTTAATGCCCGAGGTCTTTGATCAAGGTGGAATTAAACTTCCTAAATGCAACACTAAATAATGTTCCTGTTACTGTGAATTTAACCCTTTCCTCTTAGATTCTTCCTGAGAAGGAAGTAAGAGCTTCTGAACCTTCACAGTATTTATCTAGTTCACTGGACAAAGTCAGTACAACACTGCAACTTCTTTGTTTTGGAAGTTTGGGTGAGATGAGGAATGTTCATCCCTGCTTGAAAATAAATCTTCCAGGTTCTGAATTTTAACTATGGCAAGAATGTAAATTTTCTTCCTTCTGATCTTCCTCCTTGAACATAGGCTTAAATCTTAACCTGTCCTTTTTCCTGTAGTATGTTAGGGGACTTGTCCAGTGGACTCAGTAGAATCAGAGTCCCACGTTTGTGACATTAAACATATATGCATTTATCTGTACTGAAGATTTTCATCCACAAATATAAAGATGACTGTAATTCGTGTCTTACCAGGTTTCCAGTCATGGCTTTGGAGAACACAAAAGGGAGGAATGTTATTTCACTTAATGTTCAGGGTGTGTGATCCTGTAATGTAGCTGTCTTTTACTGATTTATAGTTGGGATAGCTTATAAATGGACTATATCTTTTTCAGAGGTTGATAAATATGTGGTATGTTTGATTACTTGGGACAAAAATGTTAATATACTCTTTGAGTAATCTCATTAATGCATCTTTGGTCTTTTCATTTCCAGGATGGCTCTTTTCTTCACTGTATCTGCCACCCTACCATGTCTTTTCTGGGAAATATTTCCTACATTTGTTGACTCTGCTTCTTTCCCTTCACTCCTCAACTCTCTCTAATCTGATTTCTGCCCGCACTACTTCAGTGAAACTGATGTAACCAGGACCACCAAGTATCTTCTGCCCATTCTGATGGACAGTTCTCTGTCTTGGCTATCTCATCAGCAGTTAATACCGTTACCAACTTCCTCTTTGAAACAGGCCCCAGTGACACCACAGTAACTGGTTTTCCTCCTCTCTCTCTCTCTGTGGTAATAGCCAAATATTCTTGGTAGACTTTTCTTCCTCTACCCATAGTTAAATGATCCTATTACTTAGAGTTCTCTATTAGACCCTCTTGGCTTTTCATGATGCAGCTTTCCTTAGAAATTAGGATTCAGGAGCACTTGGATGGCTCAGTTGGTTGAGTGTCGGTGAGCTTGGGTTTCTCTTTCTCCCTCTCCCTTTGCCCCTCTCCCCTCTCGCCTGCTTTCTCTCTCTCTCTAAAATAAATAAATCTTGGGTGGGGGGATGGGTTAGCCTGCTGATGGGTATTAAGGAGGGCACATTCTGCGTGGAGCAGTGGGTGTTATGCACAAACAATGAATCATGGAATACTGCATCAAAAACTAATGATGTAATGTATGGTGGTTAACATAACAATAAAAAAATTATTAAAAAAAAATAAATAAATCTTAAAAAAGAATTTAGGATTCATGGCTTCATAAATGATCTGCTGGTAATTCCAGGTCTTTTCCTTGGCTTCAGAACTGCACATCCAGAGGTCTAGTGGACATCTTTACTTGATGGTTGTACTAGGCTGCAGGTGATAGAAATCCACTTCAGTGTAGCTTCAGGCTAAAGAGAGAGAAACACAGCCTCACAAAAACCAAAGCTCAGGTGCATAGGTCAAACTGGTCTTAGGGATGAGTGGAAGCAGAGATTCATGTTCTCTAGACTTCCTCCTCTCTCTTGTCTGTGCATGTCAGCATTATTATCTCAGAACAGTCATCTACATGAAGTTTGGAATTTACTTGGCAAAGGCCTTGCTTAAAGTCAACAGCTTGGCAGCCACAAAGAAAGGATAGGTTCATTCTTTGCCCAGCTCCACATAGAAAATGGCCTGACATGGATCCTGAATGACTCAGTTGGTTAGCTACCGGTGAGATATAAAAAACTATTTTTACTGACACTGATTCTGGTGATGGTGGTGGCAGGAATCTAATGTCTTAATTCACAAAATGAAGCCAAAATTAGACCCTGTCCATCTTTCATGTTCAATTTCAACTTCATTGGAGAAGCTGCTAGTTTTATTTATGGTTATTGATGAGTTACAGCTGCTTAATTGTCTAAGAAGAGTTGATTGCTCTACCAGTTATTTCCTGGGTTGTCTTTGAGAATAGAGGTTCAGGTGAGGAAACCTGTATGAAAATGATCAGTATTTCTTCTTGGAATTTGAGACTTTTGTATGGCTATCATAGTGTTCTAGTTAGTGATTTAAAAAAAATAAACTTATTAGAATAATTCAGAGTTTTATAGTCATAAAATAGGATACTCTGTGAAGGCAGGGATTTCTTATTTCACTGCCATATTCCTGATACCTGACAGAGTGTTCAGAAAATTTTGTTGAATATCAGTGTATTAAAATTTTAATTCTTTTTCAATGCTTACTTTTTGGGGAAATAATTTTGTCACAGATTTAAAAAATAAAAGCATCTAAGGATAAGTAACTTGTTTTCTTCTATTTTTCTTCTTTTTAGACTACCTGTTAGACGCCCTGAGTCAAGACAACAATTTTTATACCTTCCTGGTGGTTGAGAAACGAGTATCTGTAGAACGAGAAGCAAAGAAAGGAAAACAGATTGACTTTCTTCATTAAATCGACTGTATAAGATACTTGACTTTCAGGAACAAAAACACAGAGAAGTAATAAAATTATTTTTTTTTTTTTGGCATCATTGGACATTCAGCATATCAAGGAGCTTGCTTTTGAAGCTTCCCGAGCCAAGATTTGAAAACTTCACTGGTGCTCATTTATACCGTGGACTATAAGCATGAGTGAATTCTGGTTGTGTTTCAACTGCTGTATTGCAGAACAGCCTCAGCCTGTAAGTATGAAGTAATATGTGTACGGATTGGGTGGGGTGCTTGTTAAACACACTGCTGGTTCTCAAGCCGGGAGTCAGGACCCTAACAGATCTCAGGAGTGTCAGAAAGGAGTTCATGGAACTCTGAACATCCGGTTAAAAAAAAAAAAAAAAAAACTTTTTTGAGTAAATACTGAGTGTCAAGAATTGTGCCTGGCTGAGGAGGTTGTCTCCTGTACCAAGTAGATGGCTTCTAGAGGAACAGTGAGGGGTTGACACCCCAACTTTTGGTAAAACAGTGGAGTCAGCCTTGAAAGTCAGTGGGTAGAAGATGTGGCAGCCAGACTGCTCACATCCTTCTTGACTTACCACTTCTTTTTCCTCTCAGCAAGCATCTGAGGTAGATACCATTACCCTTATTGTTCAGCTGGAATAGATAGAGTTTTTGCTCCAAGTTCTATAGGTAGTAATCGGTCTTAGGTAACATTTGGTGCGTGCCCTACCTTTGTGCTTCTATCCGGTGCACTCACATTGTTGCCTCTTCCCAAATCTTGCTCTCCAAGTCAATTTTCTGTTCATCTTTTAAGATGCCCAGATCAAATGTCACTTCTGTATAATCGTCAGCTTTTTCCTGACTTTGCCATTACCTCATGTGTATTCCCACTGGCTCATTACTTTATTTTTCTATTATAGCTTAGAACTTCTTTATGGTAAATAACTTCTACAGTCTCTCCACCACATTTTTAGTTCTTTAGGGGCTCTGACCAGATTTACTTTGTATTTTCAGGATCAAATCTATTATCTGGGAGGATGCAGCTTTACGTGCCAGTTGGTTAGCTGGCTGGCTGTCCCAATAAGTGAATTTATATTGTTTCATTTACATTTGTAAGAACATAAATGGAAAAATGAGGTGTAATCTTGAAGTCTTCTCAGATCTTTTTTGAGCCTTTTCCTGGGCATGTGCAGTCACTTCGTAATTTTCCTCAAGTATGCAGTGTTTTTTTTGAACGTACTAGTCTTTCATGTTTGGCTCCCAGAAGGGGAAAAAGTGAAAAATGAAGAGGGTTGGAGGGAGAGGAGAAAGGATGCTGGCTTTTAAATCCCTACAAGTGACCGAACTAGAGGGGGAAGAGCAAGGACTGCCCACCTCTTTGCTCCTTGGTGATGAGAAGCACAGATAATTGAAGGAGGGGTTCATTTTTGCCCATCCTGGCTCCACAAGATGTGTGTAAGCTGCTCTAGGAAACAGCTAGGAGTTGGGGGTGGGTAGCTGCTACAGTAGTAAGAGCTGAAATTGACTGAAATTAAATGTAGTTTATTTTCTGAGTCTTCCCCTGGAGGTTGCAAACCTTGAACAGACTCCAGAGTTCTAAAATAGTTCTATCAGACAGATTCTGCCAATGCATTTGTTGTGGTGGGATGCAGAATCCTTGTGCTACTTACTTTGCCATTTCCCCTTTTACAACTTTTATAATTTTGTTTTTTACATTTGGCTCTTTGGTCCATGAAATAGGGGAGATTGTTCTGTGTGGTGTGAGGTAGGGGTCTATTCTTTCACACTAATCAGCTACCTACAGTTTATTAAATAATCTTTTTATTAGTGATTTGGAATGTCACTTTTACCGTATGCCATGTTTTCCTCTATTGAAGGGTCCATTCCTGAAGTCTTTTGTTTTTTTGGTGCATGTGTTTACACCGGTGCCTCCAGCATACTGTTTTAATTGCTGTAGTTACTAAGTAAATTTTTGCTATATCATAGAGGAAATCTCTTTCATAGATCTTTTTTCAACTGTATTGGTAATGTCTTGTTTTGTGAGCTGGTTTGTTGTTCCGTGGTCCCTTATCAGATTTTTCTCTTTATCTTTTTTCTTTATATGAAGTATTTCATAATGCGTATTTTTAATACTATAGGTGTTTACGATTGCATTGTATGTAGAGTGTAATTGAGTGAGATTTGATGTCTTCAGAATTCTGAACAATCCCTTTGAGAAACATGGCATATGTTTTCATTTATATAGTTTTTTTCATATTCTTTTAGTTAAAGCTTAAAAATTTCATCATTAAAATTATGCACATTTCTTATTAGATTGGTTCTAAATATTTTAGGTTTTTTTCTTACTGTTGTGAATCAAATTCTGTTCTTCAATTACATTTCCTAATAAAATTTTATTAGTATATAGGAAATGAATAATATTTATCCACTAATCTTTTAACCAGACATCTTACTGAACAGTTTATATTTTCAAAATACCTTTGTATGGTGACAGGTTTTTTTTTTTTAGTCTTTTTTCTGATGAGTGAATGTCTTATCCTGGTATCTTATGCATTGACTAAGATCTCCAGCATAATGTTGAATAGTGCCAGTGATGTGTGAGAAAGGGAGAAAGGAAATGGGAAAGGTTCTGATTAAAGCATAATATGAGTTTATACTTTAGTGAATGTGTGTTTACCTGTACATTTAAGTTATCGTGTGTAATTTGTTATCAATGATACTACCAAGGATTAAATTTTCACCAGTTTTTAAATTAGGGAATTTTTAAATTCTATTGCCATATTGTTTTAGTATGCCTTGTAATATTTTGTTAAAAGACATATGGTAACACTGAGTAAAGGAACTCAGGTAAACAGGCCTTTAGCATGAGGTTTTATGTTTATCTGTCTCAGTGTTGGGCCATGTTTACTGAAGCTGTAGGTGTCAGAGGATCAAATTTCTGCTGGTGTCCTTGTTTTTGTGCCTTGTTTTCTTTGGGTTTACTTGGAGACTTCTTAAATAAGGTCTGAGATGTCTCCTTTCAGTTCTGTTCTCCTCTTATATAGAAGCATATTGATGTGTTGATAAGGTGTGGGGGGGGAAGCATTATGTGCTGTTGTGGTTAGGTTTCAGTTTTCTAGTGAGCCTAAGCCCCCGGGCTGTTGTTACTCCTGGAAGTGCTTTTTAGTGTTTTGTTTTGAACTCCCTGGTTGAAGCAAAAACCTTAGAAGGGACTAGAATTGGATATTTCTCTTTCTCTATATGGAAGGCTAGGCTGGCTGGCGATTGGATATTTCCCTTCCCTGGAGTTGGTTAGTTTATGGTAAAACCCCAGCCCATTAGCTCTGGTAAAAGAGTGTGTCTTGAGGGTTCCTTTTTTTGTTTTGTTTTGTTTTGTTTAAAGATTTTATTTATTTGTTAGAGAGCACAAGCAGGGGGAGTGGCAGGAGAGGGAGAAGTAGGGTCCCTGCCCGGAAGGGAGCCCGAGGCGGAACTCAATCCCAGGACCATGGGATCGTGACCTGAGCTGAAGACAGACGCTGAACTGACTGAGCCACCCAGGTGTCCCAAGGGTGGCTTTGTTGAGAAGAACAGAATACCTGCCTTACTGAAAAATGTCTGTTTTTCCTTTTTCTTTGCCAAAGCACAAGGAGATGTTACTCTGATCTTCACTTGAGAATATGGTGGAGTTTTGGAGGTAAAACTAAGACTGGGCCCCCCTGCGGTTTTTAACTCTCAAACTCCTATACATTCCTCTTCTACTAATTCATCAGACACAGTTTACATTTTCCTACACTGGTCCTGGATACCTGGAAGTTTCTCATCTTGGGTTTCTGCTCCGATAAGTTGTGATTTTCTTTATCTATCTGGTTTTGGGAGCAGTGGTTCTCTCTGTGATCTCAGTTCTCTAATGGATCTGAGAAGAGTTGGTGGTTTTCAGTTAGTTTAGCTTTTTTCTTGTGTGTGGTTGGGAATGAAACTACAAAGTCCTTATGTGCCACACCAGAAACCAGAAGTCAGTATTGTATTTTTTTTTTTTAAAAGATCGATTGATTTATTTTAGAGAAAGCACATGAGAGAGCGCGCGCGTGTGTGTGTGTGTGTGTGTGTGTGTGTGAGAGAGAGAGAGCAGGGGGAGGGGCAGAGGGAAAGGGAGATAGAATCCCAAGCAGACTCCCTGCTGAGCACAGAGCCCAACGCAGGGCTCCGTCTCACAACCCTGAGATTATGACCTGAGCCAAAACTAAGAGTCAGATGTTCAACCAACTGAGCCACCCAGGTGCCCCAATATTGCTGCATTTTTTAAGATTGATTTTTTTCATTGCCAGTATTTGTAATGTATATAATAAAGTGAGTCCTGGTGCACTATGTGATGTAGGTATAGTCACCAATAGCTAAAATGGGAAAACATAGATTAGGAGTGTAAACAACAGGAGCAGAAGGCCTTGGAATTACAAATATGAGACTTTAGAAATACATTTTCTGCTGCACAAAGGATTCACAATTGGAGTTTTTTGCATACATATGTCAGTATTGTGTTATTGTTGAATAATACATAATTGTGTGAAATACTCCGTAAGAATTCAATGGGCTGTGATTTTTTTATTCTTTTTGGCCTGCTGAGAAAAATAACACAAAACAGGGCCATGTGGTTATTATAGTACAGGGATAGCTTGCTTATTGGCATCAGAAAAACATTTAAAGGGTGCACTAATAATTTTATGTATGTTTACAGTTTACAAAAACAGATCCTTGCAGTTCTATGAGACAGTATCAGGAGTGCCTTTTTTGAAAGCTGCTTGGTCATCTCTAAAGTTTTCTGAAGTATTTACTGAAATGAAAGTGCTGCACGCCAACTCTCCCACTCATTCTTTGCCGCCCCTGCTCTTGCACATTCCATGTATGAAGAAGAAACAACCCAATATGGGAAGAAAACAGAATGCATTTTTCTGTGTAGTGGCATAAGAATCATACTTTTTCTTCCTACTCCTTCAATTTAGCACAGCACAGTACAAAGTATAATAGAGTCCCAATTTTTTTGAGCCTTGGCAATCCAAACTTTTCAAGTTAACTGTATTTTATAAATGCTGTAGTTGCTGTTGCTAATTATAGCTCAAGTTATAAATTTAAAAGTGGGTGGTTGCTGCCTTGTGATTTAATTTTTTTTAAAACTGAAAAGATCTGTCAGTTCTTTATAGGTTTGTAGTGATTCTTTACCTACTTATTGTTGTACATTGGAGTACTGGTGGACTTTTATTAAAGTATAATT